TCAGCACTTTGGGAGGCTGAAGCTAGAAGACTGCATGCTTGAGTCTCAGACACCTTAACTGGACACTGTCTCACAATAAAAATACAAAGTCCTGGGCAGGCAGCTCAGCACAGAGGCCCTGGGTCCAATCCTCAATACAACAAAAAAGAAAAGAAAAAATAGCTACATTTAAAAGAACAATTTATTTTCTAGGAAGATAAATCTGACTTTGAACATGCTAAGATTCATGTAAAGGCAAGATATACAAATAAGTAAATCCAACAGTTTCCTGGTGATTCTGCAGCAACACTCTGTGAGAAGTCAGGACTCTTACTTGATATGGAGGAGACAAAACATAAAAGTAACTGCCTTAGACAGCTTCCCATTGCTGGACAACATACCCAGTGGCACCACAAAAAGGAGAGGTTTGTTCTGTTCGGCTCATGGTTTCAGGGAATTTAGTCCATGGTTACCTGGCTCCAAGGCAGAACATCACAGCAGAGGGCAGAGTGGAGCAAAACGGCTTACTTTGGGGCAGTCTGGCGAAAGAGCAGGGGAGCAGTAGCAGAGAGGAACGGACCGGGGTGAGATACAGATTCCAAATCGGGCCTCCATGACCCGCTCAGACACACTCAGAAGTGGGCACTAAGCCCATAGGCAGCTCCCAAGCTGGTCGGGTTGGCATCTTAACCATCAGTGATGCCCGAAGCTGTGGGCAGGTAAGTTTCCCCAAGAGCATAGAGGGACTTTTAAAGGGTAGAAATGCCAGAGGAAGAAAAAACGGAATCAGTGTGCCAGGAAGACAAGAGCACCGAGTTAGCTGTCAGGAGAGAGCCCCGCAGGCCAGAGTCACATGGAGTACGAAAAGAGCACCAGCTGACAGGAATCTGTATTTGACTCTGGCTGTATTCTTTCTAAATTTCACGAATTTTCCCTAGATGTAAGTTTTTGTCTGTGAAGTAAGTTCTTAGGACGAGATCAGCATTTGCTACAAGATTATTCCATATATGATTTTAAATCCTACATAATGCAAACAAACTGTCCTATATTCAAAAACCCTTGGGAACTGTTTAAACAGATTTGTATTTTGCAGGACTCACAATTTTTACAACGCTGATATGCATCATGAATCTCCAAAATGAGGAGGAGATATAGTTTGCAAAGTTTCCCATTTGACAAAGGAGTAAATAGTTTTGTGTGTGTGTGTGTGTGTGTGTGTGTGTGTGTGTGTGTACCATTTTAAAAAGCAGTATTCCAACAAAATTATAAAAATACTAAACTGGGAGATTGTAAAAAAACCATCACATGCATGATGTTTAACATGCTACCTTTTAAAATAATAACTAAAATGCAGAAATATGACTGTCATCACTAAATGCTATCTCTCAATCTAGAAATACACATCTATTATTCCAAGCTTTTTTCATCCATATTTATCACTGATATTACACATTATTAACAGGACTCATGAACATAGTTATTGAAATGAATTATAGTGTCACAAATTTAGTGTCTGTATTGTCAATCTAAGATTCTTGTGCCTGTGTGCAGGGCAGGAAGGGCCCGCTTTTTCCCCCTTGAGATGGACAGATCTTAAGAACTGTGGGTTTATCATCTTAAGGAAGACTGCGTTGTACACAGAATTCACCAAGTGTTTATCACTGGCTTCGCACGTGAAGAAAACATATCTCCCTCACCTAAGTCCTGCACAGAGCTTACCTCTGGCTCTGTCTGCTCTGTGGATTCCCCAGGTTCCTTGGTTCTCTTGGGGTCCAGGCTGAAGCCCCACCCATTCTGACCCCTGAGGTGGACGCTCCGTCAGCCCAGCCAGAGTCCCAGTGATGCTCTACCTGCACTGGCTGTCCCGGTCTTCACTCAGATCTTTACCCATCTGGCTATTTTTAAACAAATAATATGTATGTGCATTAAAAGATCAAAAGATATTAGATCAACTGCTGATGATAGAACTTTTAGTATTTCCTCTTCCTATTTCTACTTCTGTTTTTATTATCTGTTATGAATATCATTATTTTATAATTAGAAATATTTAAAGCTTCGTTGAATGTCTTCCAGCATTCAAAAGACTGTAACAAACAGAATGAAAGTTTTGAAGGTTAGAGGTGAAATTGAGAGGCAGTTATTTGATATCAGTGAAATGGCATCACGCAAAGCGACAGAAAAGTGTGACTTGGGGTGAAAGAACATGTGGGGGCACGTGTTCACTCAAAGCAAGGACACACAAGGAAAGGCTACATATGGTCAGATATTTTCTATTGTTTAGTTTTTAGGCAAATGGTTTCTGATTAATCTCCTTAAGAGAAAAGCAGTAAGAATGCATTTGTGATCGTTCAACTGCATGCATTACAAACTGGGAGAAGGATGTCCTTGTGCATCATGGCACGGAAGGGAGCCACAGCAAGGTGGGTGCCTCCTAAGAGGCCCCAGGGATAGTAGCTTTTCCTCAGTGCTACACATTTCTCCAGCTTTCCTAACAAAGGTGCAGATGTAGAAGGCAATCAACATGCTTCATGGGGAAATCTGGGAAAGACTGTTTCTCCAATTCACAGACCTAACACTGTACCGGACGTTAAATCCCACAGCACCTGTGTCTCCCTGGTGGGCAGACACACGCGGTCACGCTCAGCGGCTGCTCCCACAGACACAGGTGTGGAGCACCTCCTACCATGCACTTCCTAAACCAAAACAAAGCCACCCACTGTTTCTTAAACAAAGGCCCAGGCTAGGTGTCTCTCCATGAAAAGAGACTACAAAGTGTCCCTTCCAGTCTTCCCACAAGCAGGAAAATGTTTACAGTACAGTGATCACCATCTCGTGCCACCGATAGACTTCTTGGTAAGTCCTGGGCTTTTCCTTAATTTCTCTGATGTACTCTCATTTTCACCCTAAATGTGCTTCGTCTCAGTGAAATGTCAGCTCAGATCACATTTTCCTAGAGTGGGTGAAGGTGTAGGGTGGACAATGAAAACTTTCCCAGCTGTACTAGCTTACCACTGACAGAAGGCCAGGGTAACGCACCGCATGACAAGGACTTAGAACAATCAGCACAGTGCCTTGTAGTAGAGGAAATGTCCCTGGAAAGTGAAGTAAAATGGGACTATAATTTGAAGTTGACACATGGCATCTCATAGTTAGAAGGGACAGATAGCAAAACATTACTTAAGTAAAGTACACGGAAGACTCTAAGGCTCTACTAATACTTAAAATCCAAAAGTAATTATTTCATATCTAATCCAACAAACAAGAATACCCCATGTGTTGCAGACTTTGATACACTGGCATCTTCCCAGTGTTCTGAAATTTCAAGATGAGCTTTGTCCTCTATTTTCTTCCTACAAACATGTTAAAGCCTTCCTAATCTTCTCTTTGCCCTGTTATCCTCCATGAGCTTTGCTTTCAGCGCTTAAGTAAGTATTCCACTTTGCTATCTAGAGATGGGCTTTGGAGCATGGATGAGCTACTCTATTGGTGGATTAAGCTTAACATCTCATTTAGGGGGAAATTATACAACAATTGAGGCCTTACCTGAGTACAAACTGTTCATACCACATACTCTGGTTTTGAAAGTGGCACATATAATCTTCACTGCAAATGTACCGCATAAAAAGAAATATGTTGTTTCTGAAACCTCATTTTCTTAGAAGTTGACAAAGAAATGTTTGTACATTTTCTTATCATTCACAAGTTTCTCCTAATAGCTTTCATGTTTGGGGATTTCTAAATGTGTATTATTTGGTACAGCAAGAAAAACAGTCCACTGCTAAAGTTGGGAACTGATTTGTATTCATGTAATCACACCTCATATAAATAAAGGGAATATATGTGTCTTCCCAGCACACAGAATAAAAGGATGCAATTCTCACACAGTGGACTCATTGAGTACGGCTGTCTACACCACGGATAAGAATTCAGTTGTACAGATTTATAGTGGTATATGACTCCAGTGAGTTTATCTTCCAGATAGGACACATGAGGACCTTTTTAATTGTATTGATTGAGTAGGGTTTAAAAGGGTCATTAGAAGAAAAATGTTTTCTTTGACCAACCTCCCATTGGACCAACTCTTCCTTCATTATCATATCCTGGACTTGTCATCCCTGCAAATTCTATCATCAGTCATATCTTCCAATACTCAAGTTTCTACTCTCCTGATCTGTACTTCCAGTCCCACCAAATACTCAATCTCAGTGCTCTAATTTTTTTTCAATTCATTAATTGATAAACAGAAAGTGGGAAAACTGGGGCCAGGATAGCAAGTGTAGATAAATTTAGGGTGACTGTGGTTCAGAGTCAAATAATAGTTTCATGTTCCAGCATCGTAATTTTCCTTCCTCGGGCCCTGACGAATCCCCCGGCTCTGGAGTCCTGTGAGGATGCAGTGGGAGGAGCGCAGAGTGTGCTGAGCACTGTGCATGGTGGCCCTGGACCCGAGGGGTGGACCGTCCCCTGGCCGGGCATCAGCACAGCAAACGTCGGAGTGAGGCCTGACCCTGAGTTCTGTATCCACCCTGTCCCTGTCATGCCGGCTCTGTCCCCTCCTGTGTTTTCCAGCTGCCGTAAAGTGAGCATCTCTTCTCTGCCACAACCCTTCCAGGGCGAGGTTCCTGCCCTGGAGCCAGCAGACCATGCACCGGAAGCGTGTCAGCCGCATTAACCCTCTCCTCCTTTGAGCTGTAGACAGAGGGCCACTGTGTCTCAGCGTAGGAAAAGCCGACCTAACCAGTATGAGCCTGGCAGTGCAAAGACGTCATGTGGCAGTGGGAATCAAGCTAATAACAATTCCAGAAGCTGCCAGGTGAATATCTTGGTTTCTTAAATCCTGAAGCTTTACGCGAGGACATATGTGAGCTGGTTTTCCTACAGTTTTTCCTTAATTTAATTTAGCAATTATCTAAGAAAGAGAATTTACTGTTCGCATCATGCTAGACATTAGAGAATGAATACAGGAGAAGAGAGGAGGAAACTAAGAAGTAACATTTATTAACTATTAAGTAAGTGGCAGGCGTTTTGCTCAATATTGTAAACACTGTGTCTTATTGAAGTGGATGGAAAGGTGGCCAAGCTGGCAAGAGTTGATCTCCAATTCTTCCAGTTCCAGCCCATGTTCTTTAACAAGGCAGGCAGAGAAGGGCCTAGAGACCACAGTACATAACACAGAAGAGCTGGTATTAGAGCTGAATATGCAAGTGTAAGAAAACAAACACGTTAATATAGTAAATAACACTTACCAAATAACTGCGGTGTCTGTTAATGAAATGCTTCACCATGCTCTGTGAAGAGAGCAGTGTTTTAGCAGGAAGGTCTGGAGCTGGCATGGCAGGTGGATGGAGCCCCAGGCGTGGGCACCGGGGGACCATGGTGGAGAAACTGGAAACACAGGCCTAGGCCACATTCTGGAGAGTTCTCCGGACACTAAGAAACATGGGTTTTATCCTAGAGGAGAAGACAGATACAGTTTAAATTTATAAATGAAGAAGTCTTGTGATGATATCTGAATCTTTTTAAAAAATTATGTCATGAGGTGAAAGATGGATTGAAGTATGTGGATCCTGAATAAATATAAAGAAAAGCAAATTAAATACACAGGATTACTCAAACACTTCAAGAAACAGAAGAAGCTCGGACAAATGAACTGGGGTTATGACAGGAGCTGGGATACGTAGGTGGACAGGCCCGAAAAATAGAATTGTTGCAATTTGCTGGCTAGCACTATAAGGTCAGGAGAGAGGCCTGCTGCCTGGATCTCTGTTCGCGTCACCAGCGAGCACCCGAGTTGTGTGCTTTGGTCCCAGAGACACAGAGCTGGCACACGGGAGGGCGGGCGGCAGAGATGATGGGCCGGTAACAGGCAGGGCAGGGGTCACAGCTCCTCCAGAACACACGGGTGGGGCACACTGCGCAATCCCTGCCGTGAGAGTTACAAAGTGTACATGTATTTCTTCCCATAGAAACCCACGGCAGTGAAAAGAACACAAGATCTCTTATAAGAAGAGACCGTGAAGTAAAAAAGAGAAAGCTGAGTTAGACCTGTGGGAAACTGGCTTCTCAAAAGGGCCAGACACAGTTGAGAGCCATACACAGACGAAAATCCTTAACCACAGAAGTGTAAAAGAGGAGGAGACGCAGCGAAGGAGCAGCTCCCAGAGTCCTGCTGGCCCTGGGCGCAGATGGTCCAGGAGGTGGGGAGACGCTGCGGACGGGCACTGGGGAGCTCCGCTGGGCTGTTCATTCTCTGGGGCAGAGCCCGAAGTGCAGCACCGCTGGACACGGTGGAACAAGTAGGGTCTTCCATGGAAGTTGGCGATAAAGAAAAGCATTGGATAAGCTGGGAAGAATGAGATTCTTAATTTTTCAAAGATAAAGCTAAAATTTTATATGAAGAGGAAGGAAGCAAATAGCAGAGTGACATAGTTTAAAATGTGTATTTAGTCGGCAACAGAGCGAGATTTGGCAGGAAGCGAGCCTTAACCAAAAGCACAACAGGAGAGACACCAAGAAGAATCTGAGTACCCTCCACAGGCGGCCAATGTGGGAAAAGCTTCAAGATGGGGTTATTCTGAGCCACAGGCGAGGGAAGCTGACAGGCTTTAAAAACGCACGTGTGGAAATGTGTAAGGTGGTGTGAGTTAAATCATTTTCCTGCTTGTACAGAGACTGAGATGAATTTGCTTGGTAAGAGAAAGAGGGTGAAGGAAGCTGCGTGGAAAGCGAAGGAAGGAATACAGTGCTGACGTTTCTTCTGTGAGAAACAGAGAACTCACCTTGGAGAGACCCGGCCGCCGCCCTCTTTGAGCAGAGCCCACTTTAAATCTCCCCCCCACCATGCTTCCTACCTGCTGCAGAGGCACCAGGCACCGAGGTGGGCAGAGCCCAGAAGCACAGCCACACCCTCCAAACCCCAGTCACCGTCCAGCCCGGCTCTACCTCAGGGCCTGTCCCTGGCGAAGAGCCACACCGCTTAGAACCCAGCCCGCACCACCGGAAGTCGCCCTGTCTCCTCTTCCGCCTTCAATCCCCTTTTGCGCTCATTACGCTGGAAAGACCTTACCGACTTAGGAGGGCAGCTGGCCTTGTCTCCAGTTCGGAAATGCACCTGTCCCGTTGAGCTCCTACCCTTGCTTCTTTTGCTTTTGTCCCAACTCACCTGACCGGGGCTTCCAAACTGAATATGAAATACATCTATACATAACACAGCATTTCCAGGACACAAAGACAATTTGTCGCCACTTTTCTATTTCATATTCTAGATGGCTCTAGTTCAGCCCTGGAACATTTAGCTCAGTTTCCAAACATCATATTAATGCATGATTTAGGCAGTAAACAAGAGTTGAAAATAAAATCCTCTTGGATATTCAGCTGTTTTAAAATCTGAAGGGTTTAGTAATCCTTTAAATCTGCAATCAGTAAAAGAAAGCTATTGTCACTAAATCACATGTAGTTCTTCAGAAACCACATAATGCAAAGTTCTCCAAAGAATAATTATCATTAAATGGGAGGATGAAACAATAATGGCATGTTACAAGGCCACTTACACACACGTGCCATTTTATTTGACGTTATTGAAGTCTTTATTCTCCTGCTTAGAACTGAAGTTATAGCAAATCCGATCAGAGTCATAAAATTACCAGAGGTGAAACTCATTCCCTGGTGCTCGATGTTGAATGAACGCTGAGCAGCAGTGTAAATAAGGAGACACATTGGGTGGAAGTTGGCCTGCTGACCTATAAATTGGTTCTTTTTCACATTTATTATGCCTACATATAATATATATAGTCTGTAGACTATATTAACAGTAAAAATACGGCATTGTTTTCAAAATCTGTATGTTATCATCATTACAGAGAAATGTTACTTAGAATAGTAATTTTGCACAGTCTTGAAGATCTATAGAATTTCTGTTAATAGTGATCTTTCCTTAAATGTCGTATGTTTTTAATGTAAAATCTAAGAATTAGTGCCAGGTGTGGTGGCACATGCCTGTAAACCCAGCGCTTGGGAGGCTGAGGCAGGAGGATCACTGTGAGTTTGAGACCAGCCTGAGCTACATAGTGAGTTCCAGGTCAGTCTCAACTACATAGTGAGACCCTGTCTCAAAAAATAAATAAGTAAATAAATAAAATATAAGAATTATACCAGTTTAAATTAACATTTTTTGTCTTTATAGCTTTTGCTGTTTCATTTTTCCTTCATGAAAAAGTGTATAACCTTTATTCTATCTGTAGTTTTTGGATTCTTCTATTTCCGTATATGCAAGGCCCATATTTTCATTTTCAGCATCTATGTTTTACTGAATGCAATTATATTTAGTTTTCTCCTTGTACCCCAATCTGGTCTTTACTGAACTGTACAGTTTCTGCCGATAATGGTATGGGATGACTACCGATAGCACTTTGATTTTCACGGAATTGCCTTCTCCTCTGAAAACTGAGAACCTCAAGAGGACACAGGGAGGGGAATAGGGGCCTCCCAGCTGCAGAGCAAGTAGGAGATTGTGGATTGGAACCAAGATCCACAGACCCTCCTGGTCCTACCTCAGACAGCTCTTGAGCCCCCAGACACCCATCCCACTCCCAAACCCTCAGTCTCCTTAAAGCTAATTTTTAATCTATCTAGAAAGGCATTCTATACTCGCAGGAGCTCAAACACTCAGTACAGAAAGCTCTGGTGTATAAACAGCTGGGAAACAGACAAGTGACAGATAACACAGTGAGTGTTTTTATCTTCCCAGCTTCAGCCCTTTGTTAGATTATAAGTTTTTCGAAGACCACTGGTGAAGCTATTGAGTTGCTGACAGCAGCACAGAAGAATGCAGAGACAGGAGGATTCCTCCAGACAGACTTGCCCCAAACAAGCCGATAGCGCCTAAGAGTTTAAGTGACATCTCTTCTCCCAAATCCTTAGGACAAAACCCAAAAAAGCCGTGGGATCTTGGGTGTCAAGTGTGAATTGAAACCTAACTCATGCCTTGAATTATATCATATCCTCCTATAAGCCTCCGTGTTAACAAATCACCCAGAAGAGGACTCCGTTTCTTTTCCTCTGAAAGTGATTAAGCAAATTCTTTTATCCTTTTTGTTTCCCTTTGATCAAAAACAGCCAGCTGCTAAGAATAATTTCCCAATTAGACATTTAGCATAAAGAGTGCCTTTATTTTTATGTCAGCTAAAATATAGTATTTTTTCTCTTGACAATAATTTTGGCATACATGCATTTAACTGAAGTGTTGACAAAGTGTGTGGTATTCAGCAAATGCTATAAAATATCGAAGGGATTTGTGCACGCTCTTAACAACACCAGAGCGTTTTTCTAATTCATCCCTACACTGCCTTGGAACGAATGGAGATGAGGCTGTGCTCCAGGCTGAGGAGCAGCACCAGCCCAGCCAGCAGCTTGCGCTCGCCGTTCAGATCGCTGAGTCTGACGCACAACTGGTGCCATCCTTTTCCTCACTCGGAAGACTCCTGAGATTCCGGCGACCTCCTCCAAGCAACTCTTACCAAACAGCCTTTGGGGAGTTAACTAACATCAACACCGACCAGAAACTTGTATTAGCTTCAGTTCCCTGAGATGTAAACGTTAAGTGAGAAGAGCACAACAACATTAGCTTTGAACGGGGACAAAGCTAGGAAATTCAATCACACTAGCAACTCTGGATTCCAGAAGTGAATGCGCTTTCCCACTCCAGTGCTGGTTCTAAGTACAATGGCTCCATCACTTCCCATTACACAGCATTTGTTTCCTCCAACTATGACAGGGGATGGAGCAGGCAGTTAGTTTACATGTTTTCATTTTAAGTTTTAAATTTTTCCATGGGGTGATATTTGAGGAAAAATTAGATTCAAATGCCTGAGTTCCCTTTTCCCAGAGAGGGAGCTTACCAGCAGGCCTCTCTACCATTGGTAAGCAGCCTTGAAACCGCGCCCATAACTCGAGAAGTGTCAGGTGAGACAGTGCAAGGCAAAGCGTGAACCGACTTCCGCAAAGAGAAGCCAAGCGTGAAGGGTGGCCGAGTGCCCACTGCTGCACTCTCCAGTATGTGACGGCAGCCGGGGACGCTGCTTACTTTTAAGCTAAAATCCATTGAAATTTGAGAAATCAAAGCTTCAGTTCACTTGCTGCGTAGGCCCATTCCAGGTGCTCCCGGGTCACACCTGGAAAGTGACTGGACCGTAGGTGCAGATGTGAGCAGATGCCGTCCTTGGAGAAAGCGGCGCAGCCCAGTGCTGGCCATGCAATGGCCTCCAGGAAATGGGCACGAGTGGAGACGGGGTAAAGGTGAGGAATCAGACAGACATCTCTAGGAGTTAAGGTGAGCTGAGTAAAGTTCATTCTCAAAGGAAATAAATTTCCTTTTTCTGCTTTTTACATTTTCAAAGGCTTTGTCTCAGTCAGTATTCAACTTTTTGCGATGTCTTAACATATACCTTCTGCCGGAAAGGTCTTTAGGCTGAATCATTGATACTTTGGGGCTGGTTTTTAGTAGTGACTGTAAAACATCGATTTGGCAATACTTTTTTCTGTTAGTGCCTCCTTGCCCTGGTATCGATTTGATTAAATGAAACTATTTGAGCATATAAAACATTGCACGTTCACTCTAGCTCTCAAAACCCTGACAACTAACTAAAAGGGATTCCCCTTTAGATTATAGACTGGGAAATAGGCTGACAGCTGGTGACTTGGCAAGAGTGCACAGCTCTCTGCAAACTTAGAGGAGCTAAGTGACATTCACAGCCCTTTGCCTACTTAAAACCTAAGGCTTTTGAAGATAAATCCTCTACAGGCCGGGCAGCATCGCAGCCCTTCAACAAAGGAACTCAATCTTGATACTTAGTATCAGAGCTTTCCACATAAAGTGAAGGCGAACACATTGAGCATTTTGAGGAAAACCTGACGAAATATTGAGGAATGTCACATCATTTTACAATATTTTCAGTTATTTTTTATTTAGTGGAGACTCTCTAGTGTATAAAAAAAAAAAAAGACATGGGGAACTTAACGTCTCCTAAAGAGAAGCTTTGTACTTACTAGTACAGGCTACAAAATAGAACAATTGGATTCAGACTACAAGTGTAACCTTGATCAATCACCAGGTCTCTCTGGGCCTTGGTTTCTTCATCTGTAAAACTGGAATAATAAGATTGCTTTCCTCTAGATTTGGATTAGTTAACACATTTTGTACCACATGACGGCACTGACAGTATACAGTTTATTTAGAGTTAGGTATTAGTTTTACTTCAATCCAATTTCCTCTTTGAAGAGCAGGAACGCATTCATTTTCAATTCCTATGCAGTGTTTAGTGTACTGCACTGCTGTTTATTATACTGTCTCCCAGAGATGGACATTTTTTCCAAGCTCCAGGAACAACTGACTAAAATATCAATGCCAGATCATTAATTCATAATGGAAATGATGGCTTGAGAGGCCATTGAACATTGGACAGTAGTTTCCCCACATGACAGCATTTTAAACCTCTGGTCAACTGACGTGGAAAAACAAGTTGTACTAAAAAGTTTGCCTAATATGGGTGGAATGTTCTTTATGTGGTTCAAATACTTAATGCCCCTATGTGAAAGGCTCTCATGAACTCACATGAATAATAAGGTTATACTCACTGCCCAGCCCAGAAAGTCCTTAGGACAGACATGCTTTTTCCTAGACTGATAAATAAACACATCTTAAATACATTTTTATTCATTCAAAAATATTTTCTGAGTATCTGCCTGTTCCAGGCAATAAGAGCAAAGTCATGATCCAAAGAGTCAAAAACCCTTACCCGAGTGGTAGTTACATTCTAGGAACAGTTTGTGGCTTACTGCTAAGGTGCATAAAATGAACTTTTTAAAAACAAAGATATGTTTATATGTGCATGGCTATTGCTTTTCCATGTTAGGAAATACATCTCCAGTTTTGAACCTGCACTATCACCAAAAGTAACCAAAAAGCGGTGGGGGGCTGAAGTTAAGAACTGCAGATCACCAGAGGTATAAAATGTTACACCTC